TTTCTTCGTGGCCGCGACGGCGAGTAGGATGCGCAAGGAGGTGTGACGGGAGACTGGGGCGAATGTTTCTGTGTAGTCGGTTCCGTATCGTTGATCGAAACCTCGTACGACCCATCGAGCCTTGAATCGTTCAATGGAGCCGTCCGCATTAGTTTTGATGCGGTACACCCACTTTCTCGAGAGTGCGTTCTTCCCGTTGATGTTCGTTGCAGGTACCAGCTCCCATGTATTTCGGTCTTGCAGAGCTTTCAGTTCCTTTTCCATTGCCTCCTTTCATTTCGCCTTATGTTCCCCCCCCAGAGCCGGTGACAGAGTTGTTGGCTCGAGCGGAGACGGCGGCGGCGGGTGCTGGACGGAGACCCATAAGCCGAGTATCTGCAGTCCCGTGGGTGTGTGTCGAGGGGAATTTTCATTCCCGGAATAGGCTGCTTCGTCACCATCTTCTGGATCAGGTAAGAAGTTTGGGCCGATGCGTTCTGAGACATTCGTGTCGACTGGATGAGGTGTAGCGTAACCTTGGTCAGCGAAGTGGTAAAGGGTGTCGAGGTTGTTGCTATCGAGAGGATTGTCGTTGTCGAGTGGAACAGGCACGGAACAGTAAGGGAGTGGTCCGGCAGCTTCCGAAGCTCCAGGTACGTCTTCTTCTGCTGCGTCAGCTTCGGCAGCACGGTCGGCGAAGGAGCGAAGGCCTGCGAAGCCGTCGGTGGGGTCGTCTGTGTTGGCGACGTTGTCTAGGTAATGTTTCAGCGTTAGTCGTTCGTAGAAAATCACATCACGTGATGCCACGGTATTTTTGTCTTGTATGTCGAGGATTTTCCATGCTTGAAAATGTTTGGCGATGCCGAGGTGTAGTCCCCACCGTGCTCGTCGAGTGAAGCGTCCTGCTCGGGCTGTGTGGGGTCTGTACTGTACCATGCAGCCGAAAACCCGAAGTAATTTTGTGCTGCCCCATTTTCTTGTCCACAGCAGGTGCAGTGATGCGTTGTTGGGAAGTGAGGACGAGGACAACAAATTGTGCAGGTGGACTGCATGTGTCATCGCGTCTGGCCACAGTGTGTTGGGCAGTCTCATCCCCAGGAGCAGCTTTCGCATCGTCGTCTGCAAGGTCCGGTTCATTCTTTCAGCGACCCCCTGCTACTGGTGAGCGTAGGGCAGAGACACCAGGCGTTTGATTCCTCTTTCCGCCAAGTAGGTCCTGAATCATTGTGCCTGGTATTCCAGTGCGCCGTCTGACTGGAAGCTCTTGAGCTTAGTTCCTGATTCTCGTTCAGCGATGGGGAGCCACGTCGTGAAGGCTTCGAAAGCTTGATCTCGCGTCTTTTGGTTGTAGTGCCAAACATATCTTGTTGCTGCATCGATGAACGTGATGACATAGTTGAAGCCGGCTTCAGTGTCGTCTCGAGGCATGTTTAAGATGTCGCTGTAAACTTTTTCCATCGGTGCGTATGCAGGTGCACTTGGATTGTGATGTGATGGAAAAGGTTGGTGGGGAAGATCTGCTTCAGGGCACGTGAAGCACCGTGCGCGAGGTCATCGAAGTTCTTGGCCGCTCGTTGTAAGAAGAGCGTTTCGTTCTAACACTTCGGCTTGGATGGTTTGTAGTACCGTGCTGTTTGCAGGATGCCCAAGGCGTTGGTGCCAGATGTCGTCAGGGGCGCGATGGCCGGGCGATCGTTGGTACATGTCGGTGTTGGAGAAGAACGCGACGACCGTGGCGGGACTTCGGCAGACTTCTCGTGTGATTGGCATAAGTTGATCTGCTTCGGTTGGTGGTCCTCGGATCGCTGGTGATGGTACTCGGCTGGGTCATGCTGCTGCTACTGCAGGTGATGTCTGGGAAGGGACGCTTGCTGGTACTTGTCTTTCTTGTCTGATGACTGCTAACGCTCGTGTTCTCTCCGCTGCAGGTATGGTGTTGGAGTACCAGAATCCATCTGGGGTGAAGTCGGGGTCAAGATCCTGCGGGTGCGTCCAGGCGGCAAACGCCACGATGCCATCGCTGTCGGCAGTACCGCGGTCGGGGACGAAATCCAACACGAAGACGCCGGACTTCAGGAGAGCGCGACCGATGAAGAGACCGCCTTTCCCGTGGTAAAGGCGAAATTCGTTGGAGTCCGAGTCGCACTCCAGGTGAATCCCTTTTGCCATTAACTGGCTGACACTGAGTAAGTTGTATCCCAAATTGTCGACGATGAGAACTTTGTTGAGTTGCGGTATAACGTTTGTCTCCATGGAATGTAACTGAACCACTCCTTGTCTGTTTGTTTTCAGGTTCTCGTTGTTGGCGACGGTGATGATGACATCTCGGTTGAGACGTCATTCTCGTTGCACGAAGCACCCGGAAGAACACATATGTTGGCCGCAACAGCTGTCCAAGAACCAGGTGTTTCGCCCGGTGGGTTCGGCGTTGGCAACTGCAGCGTATGTTGGGTTGACCTGAAGTCCTTGTGAACGCGGCGGCGACAGTTCTTCTTCATCTGGTGCGTAAGTGGGCGGTGATCCAGGTGCGCAATTGTCGATGTGTACCATGCAGTTGATGATGTTCGGTGTACCTTGTGCAGATGTGGAAGAGCGCCTCGGCGGGCTTTCTTGAGTGGAAGCGACGTGTGGGTCTGCTGGACGATAAGCTCGGGGACGTGTGCAGTTGACTTTGGAGTGTCCAGATGTTTGGCAGCTATGGCAGAACGGCGGCACAATGGTGAGTCCTCTGTTGTCGCATTGATCTTGTTTGCCGCGTCGGTTGTAGTTGTTATCGTTCCTTCGTTGGGTGTAGAAGACTAATGGTTGCTGTTTCCTTGGTTGCCTTTTTTCAAACAGGTCCATCTCCTGTTGTTCAGCATGGAGCTCGGCGCAGAGGTGCATCTCTGAGATTCGTCCGTGGGCGCGAAGAAGCGAGCGGGTGGTTCTCCATTCTGGCCCGAGCCCAGCAAGGACAAGTGTCACGAAGCTTTCTTCAGTGATTGTTCCTCCGCACCGACGCAGGCGGTCGCGGAGTGTCTGGCATCGACTCATATACTGCATCGCCTTTTCCCCGGTCTTCATCTGTATTGTTGTCAGCTGCTGCATGAGTCTGCTTTGTGTCACGCTGTCGTTTGCTTGATAGAGACACTTGAGGTGATGCCATGCGAGTTCCGCGGAGTTTCCATAGCTCCGATACGTTCTGATGCTTTGATGTTCTTGTGGTGACAGGTTCCGCAGGAGAAATGTGTACGCCAGCAGCGATTGATACGTGAAAAAATCTTGCTCTTTTGCAGTGCCGTTGCTTGGGAATGGCAGGGACCCGTTGAAGTATCCCAAGAGATGCGCAGCCTCCATGAGCAGCTCGAACTCAAAGCTCCAGGTAAAGAAGTCGTGTCCGTTGAACGGTGAGGATGTCTGCAGTTTAATCACGTGTGAAAACTACGCCTGGAGACTTAAAATCTCGTTTGGTGTTTGTTGTGATGCAGCTGCTCTTGGTTGGGCACGGGGCGGCATGAACTCGAACGTCCCCGGTGAAGAGTGATAAGGCGCAAAGGTAGGCGCTTGATTGTGTCGCCCGAACGATGAGTTGTCGAGGCTCATCGGCGCTAATCCCATGTTTCCTCCGTTGCTCTGTGTTGAATGCGCAGGTGTCCTTGTCTGCTGCTGCTGGTCGAAGTGTGACATGAAGCTGAAGAACCTTTCCATAAGGTTCGGGTCCACGCTTGAAGAGGGTGATGAGGTCACCATTTCTGGTGCTCTTCCTGTTGTTTCTTGAGCAGCACCGGTCTCGGTTTGCAGTCCTGAAGTGTGCAGTCCAGAGTTGACGGGTTGAGTGTCTTGGGCACTGTGTGAGCCCGTGGAGGTTTTCTTGCCCTTGCTGTCCATGACTTGTAATCAATGAAGTCGTTGGTATGCTGATTGTAGATAGAACGTAGTTGCTTGGAGTTTGGTCTCTGACCAGCTCTCATACCATGTTGGGCTGAGAAAATGCCCTTAGGATCTTTGCAGAGACTAAGTTCCGAGTTGTAAAAGGGAGACCTTGAGTAGTGCAGTGGAAGTTGAACAGTTGAACCCTTGTACTAGTATGTGAGAACAAGTGATTGATTAAAAGAAACAAGCATACAGCAATATATAGAAAGTAGGAAAGTAAAGCAGTTGTAGAATACAGTTAAGAGAACGGTTTATCGAGTCGCACAGCGACTCGATTGACGGTTCTGTTACCATCCTTGCAGTTGTAACGGTCAGTCGCAACCTCCGGTTGCGACCCTTCGTGTCCTTTCGTGTTCTTTGTCCGCCCCCTCGTGTAACCTCCGTTGACTCGCGTACCCGTTGTGACTTTCCTCGAGTGTAGTGTTACACTTCAGAAACGCTCAAGTCCTTGAGATATTTCCAACATAAGTTGCAATTTATATGACAAAATACCTTGCAATCGTGCAACTTCGGCTCCCTCGTGTGATAAACATTTGTACGGTTTAACATAATTTGAAAATAAAATATTTTCGTTAGAAACCATAATAAATAATATGCATAATGGTTTAGTATATCTCACATGTGATATTTTATATCTCATATATTTATATATCTTTGATGTTATAATCTCATTGTGGTACCATTACTTCAGTATTGGGAATGTGTTGTTGATGTCATCCTAATTTTCTCACAAACCATATGCCAATAACAGTAGCATGACATTCTACACAATCCTTCCGACGTGAAGTCGAATTTTGTTATATATGTGGAAAGGTGTCCTCGAGTTTGTTCATATTAGGGTCACTAGGCTTACTGCATATGAAAGCTACACTCTTGGGCAACTTCGTTTGTCGGTCAAACGTAGGAACGCGATTGTATGGGGCCGAAAACCAGGTGGCGGCAGAACTTCATTTCTTTTCGAAAACCATCCGAAACCATCTGAATTTGAAGGCAGAATGTGTTTGCTTTGTTACAAAAGGGCTTGAGCCTGAACGTTTTGAGCGCGCCCTAACTTGGCTCCACAGGCTTTCCACGCAGATCCAACTCCAAGGTTCTCGCACATTCTGCCCTGGGATTGGGTAGAAGCAATCAGGATTCAGAACCAAGGCTTCGAGGAGGGACGAGCCGATAGGGCAAAGAGACTTGGGACTGACCGAGGTTCTTAGAACCAAGGGGGACGGAGACGGCGTTAGGCGGCTGTTCTATTCTTTGTTAGGACCAGGCAGGGTAGCTTAGCTGCACGTCCTTGAGACACGTGCTTGTCCGGCATTCTTAAATCTCTCTCCTTCGTGACTGCTTCTCGCGATCCACCGACGAGGATAACTATTTGTGCTGGGTGAATGGGCAAATTATAGACATTCAGGACAGAGAATTTCATCAGCCTTTCTCCCTTCGTCCGGCATTGCTTCGATCGCTCTCGTCCGATTTTTGCCTGATCAGCATTTAGTTTATCGGCATGGAGACGCCGTCAGTGTCGCGGCATCAGAAGCTTGTAACGGACGTTCTTTCGTGGGTGTTCAATGTAGTCACATCCGTCGGGATCATTGTGGTTAACAAGTACCTGATGACCCATTACAACTTCACCTTCGGTGGGATCCCTTATCCACGCATCCATTACAAGTGTTATTCTGCAAGCACAATGCCCTTGCTTGCAAACGCAATGTCGATTCACAATGCCGATTCGCTCTGCTGACTTCATCACGGGCATTTGTCCCGAATTGGGAACTGGATGTTTTCCTGACCCGGTCGTAGTCTCTCGTCTTTTGTACTTCACTTTCCATTTTCCGTTAACACCATCATCTCCCTCGCTCGCTCGCATTCTCCCCTGAAACTGATCCTCAACCCCCGCTATCATATCCTTTATAAGCAGTTTCCGCAAGTCGTTGCGAGTTGCCACTGTACACTTGCTGCCGTCCTCTCTCCTCGATGTCTCATTTATGCAGCCGCCACGCTCACCGGACTCCACTTCATCATGACGTCGCTGATGACGTCAGCGCTGCGGCTGAGCGGGTACCTGGAACCTTCGCAGCTGCCGCTGATGGAGCAGGTCAAGTTCGCGCTGACCGCCAACGTGTCGATCGTGGGGATGAACGTCAGCCTCATGTGGAACAGCGTCGGATTTTACCAGGTGGGTGCTTGTATCGAGTGTGCTTCTATCGAATGTTATTCTGATAGGGGCTCTGTCCGCTGACTGCCAACGTGTCCGTGGGGATTAACGTCAGCCTCATGTGGAACAGTGTCGGATTCTACCAGGTGTGTGATTATCACGAGTGTGCTTGTATGGAGTGTGCTTTCGAGTGTGGCTATGAAGGGAGCTCTACATGCTGATGGAGCAGGTGAAGTTCGCGCTGACCGCCAACGTGTCGATCGTGGGGATGAACGTCAGCCTCATGTGGAACAGCGTCGGATTTTACCAGGTGGGTGCTTGTATCGAGTGTGCTTCTATCGAATGTTATTCTGATAGGGGCTCTGTCCGCTGACTGCCAACGTGTCCGTGGGGATTAACGTCAGCCTCATGTGGAACAGTGTCGGATTCTACCAGGTGTGTGATTATCACGAGTGTGCTTGTATGGAGTGTGCTTTCGAGTGTGGCTATGAAGGGAGCTCTACATGCTGATGGAGCAGGTGAAGTTCGCGTTGACCGCCAACGTGTCCATCGTGGGGATGAACGTCAGCCTCATGTGGAACAGCGTCGGATTTTATCAGGTGCGTGCTTGTATCGAATGGGACTTGATACTCCCATCCCAAGGTCCCCGCCTCTCTGTTCTCCTCATCCGTTCAAGACCGTCTCAACCCCCCTCCCCCCTCCCCGCACCCCTTCCCCCGCCCTTTTCCATGCGCCCCTTCCCACGCATGTGCTCACGTTCGCTCCATCCTGTCCTCCAGATCGCCAAGCTGGGCGCGATTCCTGTTTCCTGCGAGCAGCGTGCTCGAGGCCTACTTTGACAGCATGCGATGCTCCTCAGGCTCCGCCTCTCGCCTCTCCATCCTCCTTGTGCTTCTCTTCCTCCCCGTCTGCTCCTCTCAGATCGCCAAGCTGGGCATGATTCCTGTTTCGTGCGTGCTCGAGGTCTTCTTTGACAGCATGCGATACTCCCAGGGCTCCCGCCTCTCCGTGCTGCTCGTGCTGCTAGGGGTTGCCACGTGCACGATTGCCGACAGCAGCCTCAGCGCCAGGGGCATGGTGGCAGCGGCTGTTGCTGTTTGCTCTACGGCCCTACAGCAATACGTGAGTGTAGAAGAGATATATACTGGGGCAGCTCCCGGGGCTCCCGCCCTCCCGTGCTGCTCGTGCTGCTAGGGGTTTCCACGTGCACGATAGCCGACAGCAGCCTCAGCGCCAGGGGCATGGTGGCAGCTGCTGTTGCTGTCTGCTCCACTGCTCTGCAACGATGTGAGCTTCCTGTCACAGACAGGGCAGGGGTTCTCTGTCACAGTTTCAGGCGCCTCAAAGCACCTGCTCCTAGGGCTGCCACGTGCACATAGGGGTTGCTCATAGGGGTTGCCACGTGCACATATGGGTTGCTCATATGGGTTGCCACATGCGCATATGGGTTGCTCATAGGGGTTGCCACGTCCACATATGGGTTGCTCATTGGGGTTGCCACGTGCACATATGGGTTTCTCATAGGGGTTGCTCATAGGGGTTGCCATGCGCACGATAGCGGACAGCTGCCTCAGCGCCAGGGACATGGTCGCTGCTGCTGTTGCAGTTTGCTCCGCTCCACAGCTCTACAGCAATGCGTGAGTTATCTGCCACGTATGTGGTTGCTGCTACGGGTTGCCATGGGTATCGCCAACAGCAGTGTGAGCGCCAGGGGAATGGCCGCAGCTGCCGTTGCCGTTTTTACTCCATCCCTGCATCCGAGTGTTTTTTTTTAGACGGTTTTGTTTAAGGTGCCAAGCCATATGTTCCGGCACTATTGTCTGATGACACCAGTGGGCCATTGGATTTGGGTGTGATGGTGGTGGCGACGGGACAGTGGCGAACGGAAAGATGGGCAGCAATCCCACGGCTGTGGCCATGTGTATGTGGTAGTCCAGTCTCCACTTCCCTCACCTTACACTGTGGCATCACACACAGAACTCGTTCCGCTGGGCCCTTCTCACTCGCTCTCACCACCCCCACAGCACAGCACCCCCTCCCCCCCCCCCCCCCTCCACAGTACGTGCAGTACCTTCCCATGAAGTACCGCCTCACACACAGCTCGTTGCACATCGTTCGACCTGCTCTCACACACAGCTCATCGTGCGGGGCTATCCCTCACTCACTCTCACCATCCCCTTCCCACTCCTCCCTCCCTCCCTCCCTCCCTCCCGCCCTCCACAGTACGTGCAATAACTGCAGAAGAAGGATCGCGTGGGGTCGTTCGACCTGACATGGATTCCCATCGACTCCCCCTTCCGCATTTCAGATCCCCTCCTCCTGTATGCCCCTGTCCACTCCGCCCTCCACAGTACGTACAATATTTGCAGAAGAAGTATCGCCTGGGCTCGTTTGATCTGCTCTCGCACACAGCACCAGTGCAAGCAGGAACCCTCATTCTGTTGGGGCCGCTGATCGACTGGCTGCTGTCCGGCGCTCGCTTTGACAGCTACGACTTCAGCGTGCCCTCTGTGGTGAGTTGATAGGTCAATCCCCCGTGGTGAGCTCATTATCTCTTATCGATTCATCTCAGCACCCGTGCAAGCAGGAGCCCTCATTCTGCTGAGGCCCCTCATCGACTGGCTTCGCTCCAGCGCTCGTGTTGACTGTTGACAGATATGACTTCAGCGTGCCCTCTGTGGTGAGGTGCATTATCGCATATTGCGACATAGCAGCACCCATGCAAACACCCGTGCAAGCAGGAGCCCTCATTCTGCTGGGGCCCCTCATCGACTGGCTTCTCCCTGGCGCTCGCGTTGACAGCTATGATTTCACCGCGCCCTCTGTGGTCAGTCTGTCATCTTTGGGTTATCACAGCACCCTGTGGCGAATGCTCTCTCTGGTGAGTCTATTGTCCATGGGAGATCGCGCGTGCAAGTAGAAGAGCTCGTTCTGCTGGGGGATTCTCATCAACTGGCATCCGTGTGGGTCGCGTTTTGACAGCTACGACTTCAGTGTGCCCTCTGTGGTGAGTAGAATTATCTCTCATCATCCCTTCCGGTGACTTCATCATTCCTCGTGGTGAGCTGACAGCTTGGGCTCTATTGACTGCCCATCTGCCCATCTGCCCATCTGCCCATCTGCCCTCTGAAGGCCCGAACCGGAGGTCTGTTGCTCCCACATGCTCCACGCCTTGGTAGCAGTTTGGGTCAAGGGTGTATTTTGAGTCGACTCAAAATACACCCCTAACCCGAGCCCTGTTTGACTCACATGCTCCACGCCTTGCTAGCAGTGGCGGTCTACGAGAGTAGAGTCAATTCATGCTCCATACCCCTCCCAATCCCATTCCCAATCCCATTCCCAATCCCATTCCCAATCCCATTCCCAATCCCATTCCCAATCCCATTCCCAATCCCATTCCCAATCCCATTCCCAATCCCATTCCCACTCCCTTACTCCACTCCCTTCTCCACTCCCTTCCCCATTCCATTTCCCACTTCCTTTCCCTCCCCCAACCAGCTCTGCATCGGCCTCTCGTACCTGATAGCCGTGGCGGTCAACGCGAATCGGTTCATCTGCACCGGGCGATGCGAGTCAATTTGTGCTCTCCCTCCCCCCCGCCCACTCCCCACAAACCCTTTCCCTCCCCCAACCAGCTCTGCATTGGTCTCTCGTGCCTGATAGCTGTGGCGGTCAACGCGAGTCAGTTCATCTGCATTGGGCGATTCACAGCCGTCACCTTCCAGGGCCTAGGCCACATGAAGACCATCTGCGTGCTTGTGCTGGGATACGCCCTATTCGGCTTGGACGGGCTCAGTGCGCCGGTAAGTAACTGTATGCGTTCGGCCATGTGAGGCCGTGCAAGAGAGGGCGATTCTCTCCAGGCACCTTCCAGGGCGTGGGCCATATGAAGACCATCTGGGTGCTCGTGCTGGTATACGCCCTATTTGGCTTGGACGGGTTGAGTGCGCCGGTGAGTGATTGTTGTAAGCATGCCTTGCCCTATAGGTCTGAGGCACCTTCCAGGCTTTGGGCCACATGAAGACCATCTGCGAGCTCGTGCTGGGATACGCCCTCTTCGGCTTGGACGGGCTCAGCACGCCGGTAAGTGTTTGTGGGGCCATGTGGCCCATGCCATGCCATGCCATGCCATGCCATGCCATGCTGTGTAAGCGAGGGAGAGCGAGCAAGTGAAGGTCTGCTGGGCCATATGAAGATCCTCTGCATGCTCGTGCTGGGATTCGCCCCCTTTGGCTTGGAGGGGCTCAGGGTGTCGGTAAGAGACTATGAGAGAGGGGTCTGAGGTGCCGCAATGCAGGCTGAGTCCCATGAAGACCATCTGTGTGCTCGTGCTGGTTTTCACCCTCTTCGGCTTGGACGGGCTCAGCGCGCCGGTGAGGGACTGTATTGGGCATGCCATGCGTCAGCTTGAGACAGAGAGCGAGAGAAGGTTTGAGGCACCTGGGTTGGGCCACATGAAGATCCTCTGCATGCTTGTGCTGGGATATGCTCTCTTTGGCTTGGACGGGCTCAGCATGGCAGTAAGACGTTGCATATCATGCCATGCCATGCCATGCCATGCCATGCCATGCCAAGCCATGCCATGCTATGCCAGGACACAAAGGGTTGAAGACAATCTGTGTGCTTGTGTAGGGATATGCTCGAGGGATACAATGGGGGCTCAGCTTGAGATTGTATGGGGGTGTGAGAAAAGAGGGAGAGGGCACCCCCATACAATCCTGGTGGAGAGGGGGAGGGGGAGTTGGTGGGAGAAGGGAAAGCATGTGAGTTGAGGAGGTTTTTACAAAACTTTACTGCTTCCAACCCCCTCTCCCCCTCTCTCCTCCCCAACCTCCTCCCCCTCACCACAAACACACACACACTCTCACCCACCCACTACCATCCACTCTGCTATCCTCTCTCACAGGTCCTGATTGGCATGCTGCTTTCCATAATGGGCATGGTGTGGTACGGTAACGCTTCGTCGAAATGACTTTGGAGCCGACTCAGAAAGTCATTTGCCCATTTCCCAACCCACCATCCCTTTGTGCAGGTCGTAATCGGCATGCTGCTTTCCATAATGGGCATGGTGTGGTACGGCAACGCTTCGTCAAGACCAGGAGGCAAGGAGAAGCTGCCCGTGGCTCCTACTCTCCCAACCACCACTACGGACTCAGAAGAAAAAGCACCTCTAAAAAGTGAACCACGGGAAGCTCCTGTGTCGGCGCTGGGGATTGAAAAGGTGGCTAGTGGTAGTGGATAAACAAGGCCTGGCATTTGATTTGACTAGACTCTGGCTGTGGTGCTATTTTCCACAAGCCAAGCACTTATGCATGGCACAAAACATCAGTGCTGTATTGCTTTCTACTATTTCAACTATGAAGAGAAAATAAGCAGTCCTTGGTATCTTGGGTAAGGGAGGACTTGCAGAAAATGTACGACCACCATTATGTCGAACAGTCCAGCACACACAGATACCAAACAAACAATAGTAGTGAAACAGTACGAATATCGTTTCAAGGTTATGTCATTATCGTGTCGCAATTGTGGCAATGGAGCCCCTGTAAGCGTGCCATCCTGTCACCTTGACACGAAATGTCGCGAAAGGCTTCGTGAATGTTGAAATCGATTCTTGGTATGAAGCGATGGTGGGGATACGCCCTCGGGTTCTCTTCTCCTGTCTCGTCTTCCCTCCCCCCAAGCAGCATGGAGAGTTCATCCATGGGGTGGGGGATGTGGAATCCAGTCAAATTTATGGATTCGCGATCGTGCGAAATACTGATCGTGACGGATATTGACGCGATTGTTTAGAAAGCGACATTCTGCATCAGGATCCCCGCATCACACAGCAGGCACTCCAGTACAGATTCTCTTGACAGACCCTGGTGTGATTAATAGCACTCAAGCCCCACTCACTCTCCCCGCCATTCTCGTACTGAATGCACAAGTCGACCATACAAGGCAGCAACGCTATTTAATCCACCTTTTTCGTGGTCAGCATCGCGTCCGGTTCGCTCGTCTTATCTTAGCCCGAATTCGCCAGCATCTCTCAGCTTCGACCATGTCGCTTGACGATGGACCCGATGGTCCTCTGGAGCACACGCTCCTGGTCGTTCGCGAAGTCTCGGTGTACAAAATTCCTCCGCGACAGTCGTCAGGTGGTTACAAATGCGCAGAGTGGCTCGTTGGCGACAAGATTTGGGGGGGACGCCTCCGCGTAGTCTCCGTCGGCGACAAGTGCGAGATTCGCCTGGAGGACAGTAATACCGGCGAACTTTTCGCCGCGTGCCACGTGACTCCTGGTCAACGCGACGCATCCGTCGAAGCCGCCACGGACAGCTCGCGATACTTCGTACTTAAAATCGACGACGGTCGCGGTCGACACGCCTTCATCGGCCTCGGATTCGCGGAGAGAAACGCGGCTTTTGACTTCAACGTCGCTCTTACCGATCATGAGAAGCACGTGCTTAACGAGAGGCAACGAGCCGACGAGGTGGCGTCAGGGGGAGCTGAGACCGCTGGAGAGGACTCGCAACCGAAACTGGACTTGAAATTGAAGGTAAGTCTTTAACGTCGCTCTGATGGATCACGAGAAGCACGTGCTGAATGGGAGGCAACGAGCCGACGAGGTGACGTCAGGAGAAGGAGAAGGAGATTCGGGTGGAGAGGACTCGCAAATGAAAATGGACCTGAAATTGAAGGTAATTTGTCTTTCAAAACCCCTGTATCGCGAAATGCCTTCATGGCGTTTCACGCTGCGTGGCCTTCCTCGCAGGAGCGATTGCTCCACCCTGAACGGAGCGATTGTAAAAGACTCACAACTGAGTGCCGGTCGACTCACAAGTGCGTGGCCTTCCTTGCAGGAGCGAACGCGGCCCATTTCCTTCTGCGTGCTCGTTTTCAAAGTTGTTAAAATCAATATAAGAAACTCTAAGACCTTTCATGACCCTGATGTTCCTTATGTCCCTGGCATGCAGCATAATCATGAAGCAGCCTTCCCCCCCCCCCCCCCCCCCCACATCCCCCTCCCCACCTACCCCTCCCCCAACCTCCCGCACCACGTTCTCGGGACATCTGTAAATGTTCCGCTCTCTTCCCACTCGTAAACTTGCGCGTTTTTCTTGACTCCGGTGTGCAGGAAGGCGAAACGATCCGCATCAGCATGAAGAAGCCATCCTCTTCCTCCTCCACGTCCACCTCCTCCAAACCCTCCTCCTCCTCCTCCGTCCGTGTAGGCATTCTCGCCCCCCCTCCCGGCAGCAGTGGCATAGCCCGCCTGGCGCCTCCTGGCAGCAGTGGCAGCACCGCTCGCCTGGCGCCTCCTGGTACCTCCTCCTCCTCCTCTTCTCGATCTTCAGCGTCCGGTGGGCGTTCAGCAGCAGCAACAGGAGGAGCAGCAACAGCCGCAGCAGCAACAGGAGGAGCAGGAGGAGGGGTTTCTGCAGTTCCGGTTTCAGCTCCAGCAGGAGGGGGTCAAGTGGGAGCATTTGCCGACTTCTCTCAGATTCAGGTGCTTAGCTGTGGTCATTGAATTCGTGTGCAAATTAGGGCAAGTCCAGTGTATATACGCCTGCAATGGTGTGTGTGCATGCGTGTGTGTGTGTGCGCGCGTGCGCGTGCGTGCATGCGTGCGTGCGTGCGTGTGTGTGTGTGTGTGTGTGTGTGTGTGCGCGCGCGCGCGCACGTGCGCGTGTGTGTGCGTGTGCGCGCGTGCGCGTGTTTGTGCGTGTGTGTGCGTGTTTGTGCGTGTGTGTGTGTGTGCGCGCGCGCGTGCGTGTGCATGCGTGTGTGTGTGTGTGTGTGTGTGTGTGTGTGTGTGTGTGTGCTCGTGCGTGTGCATGTGTGCCTGTGTGCATGTGTGCGTGTGTGCATGTGTGTGTGTGTGCATGTGTGCCTGTATGCATGCATGTGCGCGTGCGTGTGCGTGTGTGCATGTGTGCGTGTGTGTGCATGTGTGCCTGTATGCATGCGTGTGCGCGTGTGTGTGCATGTGTGTATGTGTGCGTGTGTGAATGTGTGCATGTGTGCATGCGTGTGCGCATGCGTGTGCGCGTGTGCATGTGCATGTGCATGTGTGTGCGTGCGCGCGTGTGATTTTCTTTTCTTTCTTCTTTTGAAGGTAAAATTTCCTGCTTTTTGCCCAAATTACCCATCTGGATCCGAGTGGGTGTGCCTATCAAGTGTTCACCTGTACCATTCCCTTTTTTTGGCTGTGTTGTGGTGTTCTACCCATCAACCCCATCTCTATGCTGCTTGCAGTCATCCCTCCCATCAACAACGCAACCTGCTTCGTCAAAAGCACCTGCTTCAAGCTCGAATGCCCCAGCAGCAGCAGGATGGGCCACGTTCTGACATGCTGTAGGGGCATTCCTTCGTCGACTCAAAAGCCACCTACACCCCAGCAGCAGCAGCAGCAGCAGATGCAGCACAATGGGCCACGTTTGGACCTGGTGAAGGGGCAAGCTCCACACAGGGTTACAGCGATGAGGTTATACTCTCAAGTGCCCCAGGTGGCAACTACCATATGTATGGAGTATGGACCACAACCCATTGATTGGCGCCATCCATACCTCCTTGGTGGTTGAACCTTGGACCTCCTCTTTTATCCTGGTTGGTGTATAAAACCTCTTGCAATACCTGGCCTGACCTACAACGTGTTAGATGCAGCCCTGTACAGGGAGGGCACTGTATCATGCTGTTGCAGAAACCGCCAACCTACCCGCCCCAACCATCGCAATCACTACAAATTACACAGGATAAGACTTCAATGCTAGAAGCACAGGCTAGGATCGCGGGTTGCGACTTTCCAACTATACTTAAGGTCCTTCCAGATATGGTAGTCTGTGTCGGGATGGGATGGGCAGGGCCCCAGCCCGTATCACATGAATACAAGGTCACTGTCACTGCACAACATGCAGAGGTAACCTGAGCCACGCACGGTGTCAAAGGTCCTTCCAGATATGGTAGTCCGTGTCCGGATGGGCAGGGTCCCACTCCGTATCAGCACATGCTGACAGAATGAGCGTACGGCCTTGCTTGTCCACATTAGCCAACGCGTGCGCCCTGCCTGCCGGCCCAGTGAAGACAGCCACGTCAGCAGCATCCAGCATGACCTCAGCATAGCCCGCCGGCAGCGACGGGTTCTCGATCTGGCGGGGAAACCAGGAGGACGTGTCGGGGAAACCAGGAGGACGTGTCGGGGGGAGAAAAATAGGTGATGGCCCAAGGGACGGACGGAGGGGGAGAGGAAAAAAAAAACTGATTTTCAAGCGTGGCAGGAGGGTGGAGCAGCATTCAGCATCACCTCGGCATAGCCTGATGGCAGCGACAGGTTCGCAACCTGGGGGGGAACAGGATGTGTTGGGGGGGGGGGGGAGGGGGGGGTTTGGCGGGGGTGAGGGAGGATGATCAATGGGGAAAGGGACCAAGGCAGTTGAGTAGGAAATTTAGTTTCCCAGCAATGCAGAACTGTGGAGCAGCATCCAGCATCACCTCGGCATAGCCTGGCGGCAGCGACGGGTTTTCAATATGGTGGGGGGGGTGGGGGGGGCAAGGGAGGGGGTTGGATGGGTGGGTGGGGGGTGGGGGGGTTTGGGGGGAGGGATGCTGCAGACGAGGAGGAGAGAAAAGTTGTTCCTCTACCTTCTCCTATCCATACCGAGGAAGAGGAGACGGTCATCGATAAGGTGTTTTTGAAAAGTATTCGACAGTCCCATTGGAAAGTGCTGTATGGCAAGACAGTAAAAAACATTTCTACATGTGATAGGGTATTTAACAAGCCAACCATACATACTCACCCGGGATACCAGCATCTGCCTCCCAGATACGGAAGGACTCGCTCTTGGTGTGGTGGCGGTGTATTCTGAGTTGACTCAGTCAGATGTCACCTTAGACGTAGGCCATGTGATGAGTGCATCCAGCCATACATACACACTCGATGTGAACGGATGTGTGAGGAGTCTATTTTTGAGGCGCCTCTAAAATGGATGTGCATTCAGCAAAACATGCTCACCCGGATTCGAGCGTCTGCCCCCCAGATAAGGAATGACTCGCTCTTGGTGTGGTGGCGGTGGTTTCCTCGCACCTTCCCCGGGCCTATTGTTCCCACATGCACGTCAACACATGACTTTGCACCTGATGGCATGTGATGGCATGTGATGGCATGGGGTGGCATGTGATGGCATGTGATGTGATGGCATGGGATGGCATGTGATGGCATGGGATGGCATGTGATGGCATGGGATGGCATGTGATGGCATGGGATGGCATGTGATGGCATGGGGTGGCATGTGATGGCATGGGGTGGCATGTGATGGCATGGGGTGGCATGTGATGGCATGGGGTGGCATGTTGGGAAAGCATTGAAGGGCGGGTAGAAATTCAAAATGCACGTAAGTGGAAGTTGATGAGCTTGCATGCATGCAGGCAGGACGGTATGTGGCATGCGATGCGAGAATGGGTCAGCAACCACACTATGGGCTATACCCCTACACCACCCCTCTCTCCCCCCCATACCGCACTCACCCCCAGCCCATGTTCCAGCAGAGTGCATGGGGGAGAGGATGCATCCGTCCGGGCACATCACCCTCCCGCATCCCCCCACTCCCCCCCCCTCTCCCCCCCCCTCCCCCCTTCCCCCTTCCCCCTGTTCTCTTCACCCCACCTCTACCCCCTGCCCCCTCCCTCCCCAAACTTTTCACTTACCCCCCAGCTTGTGTTCCGCAGCCGCGTGCATGGGGGAGAGGATCCATCCGCGCACGTCACTCCTGGCATTCCCCTGCCCGCCCCCCTGTTCCCCCCCGTTCCCCTCACTCACCCCCCAGCTTGTGTTCCGCAGCCGCGTGCATGGGGGAGAGGATCCATCCGCGCACGTCGCTCCCCGGCATTCCGCCCGCAAGCTTATTCAGCCGCACCAAATTCGCCTCCTCCTTCTCCCGCCGCATCTCCGCCTCCCGCCCCTCCCCCATCCCGCCTCCCCCCGTTCCGCCTTCCGCCGCCTCTTCCCCCCCCCGCTGCTCGATCAACCCCGCCTCTTCCCCTCCACGGCTCGTGGCGTTCGTGGTGGTGTAGACGAGGCAGAGCGTGAGGATTAAGAGCATGCAGAGCGCCTGAGCCGCGACGCGGCCATTGTTTCCGCAAAATGCGGAGGGTAGGGACGAGGGCGACGAGGAAAAGGCGCCTCGCGGGTGATGCGAGGAGAGCGCGCTAGGCATGCCGACGGCTGGTGCGGTGAATAGGAATGGGTTTTTTGAGAATTATTAAAAAAGCCGACGGCTTGTGCGGTGAAATAGGAATGGTGCTTCAAATAAGGGATAGTGGCGGGATAAATGAAGTTCCTAGTTTTCAAAATGCGGGGTGGTGCGTTACAATAGTTTTTTTCGTTTCTTGGGCGGACCGAAAATCACGTGATGCTTCAATGCGATGGATGCAGCGAAGAACGCGGAGCGAGGAGACGACGTCAGGTACGGCGCGGAGCGCGAATGTCGGCGAAAGTTTGGTAAAATGCTGGCGAAACGTCCGGCGAATCAGCCCGCACTCGTGCGAGCGTGAACGGAAATAATAACGAGCTTTGGGTATTAGTATAAGCGTGGTTCTCAGCTCAGCAACTCGCGTCGAATGATTAGCTGAACAGCGGAAGCGCAGTGCAGATTTTAGAGGTGCCTAAAAAAGAGGGCAGCGAGGTAGGTGCAGGTAAACGCCCCTCGGCTGCATTCAGCGATACTGTGATATCCGATAATTGTTCTTTCGTTCTCCGAGTGTAACTTTAAAAGTTATGGTACAAAACAAGTTAGGACAAAATGAACCATTGTGTTCCATGTTACTAGCATGTTGCAACGAGTTGTGCCCAACGGGTGGATTATTCTGAATATGACGCTGGGATTAATAGTAACATGTTGCTGCCTGTTGGACGTAGGCTTGTGACAATTGAGCCTTGTGGTTCTGCACAGCACATAAGAGAAACACTTTAGGTCTCAACACACCATATTAAAGGAACGGGCTATTAGATAACATGTCGCATGTAACCTCACCTCCAGCTCCTCTATGAATGCAACCGCAGCTTGCAACAGCGAAGCCATGTCAGGCCGTGCAACCAGGCTTGTCGGGTACCTCTGACGCATCCACGATGGAGGTATGGTCTTTTCCAACCGCCTGAACCCCTCACTGCATGAAACCAGCAGCAACAGTAGAAAGGATAGGCTGAATTCCCTTTAAATCGCTCACCAGCATGGGAAAGAAGAGCACAAGAAGCAGCATTGACTACTGTTAAGGTAGTACCGTACCTGACCCTGTGTCGTCTCTTCTTCTCCGTGGTGCTCCGCCGGAGAATAGGTAGCCGTCCAACCACAAGCCTCGTGCCAGTGGATGGGGCCATCGGGGTTGTGCTTGTTGCGTATGCTGGATGTGCTGCTGCGTGTGGTGCTGCTTGTGCTTCCAATTGCGCTGCAGCCTGTGTCACTTGTGTCACACATGCTTGTGCTGCCCTTTGTGCTCCTTCTGGCGCTCCTGGTGTCATCTCTGGTGTTGTGTCCAAAACGGCCACGACAGCAGACATTTGGTTCTGCTGGTTGGCACTAGGGCCGCCGCTATCGCCCTCAAGTGCCAGCACAGATGCCTCTACTGCATGAATCACCTCATAAGCTGAACCAGCAGCAGAACCGCCATCAGACCCAAAGGATGCCAACACCGCCACTGCCGCTTCTGGTGCTGAGCCCTGGTTAGCCACCCACATCTCATCCAGCAACGTCCTGAGGTCAGGTGCCAAGGCAGTCGCGCCTGCTGACATTGCTGCCACGCCTTCTCCAACCAGGGGGGGATAATTTCCCATCATGGTGCTGACTTCAGGTACCGACACCATTGCTCCTGCTGCAATTGCGGCCACGCCTTGGACACTCAACGAGGATTCATCCACCACCTGCGGCCATTGCCTTTGAAGGCCTCAAAAGCATCCAGCATCACGCTGACGTCACTCCCAGATGGCCCCACTGCCACTGGTACTGCGCCGCAGCGAGCAGACGTCATCGTGACTTCCTTCCAAGCTTCCAGGGGCAGCGAATTCGCAACGGCTGGTACAGATGCGTCATTTCTTGACTGCAACGCCTCATTGCATCGCATGGTGATCCCAGGCTCGTCACTCTGCATGATAGTTCCCAACTCTGATGGCTTGAAGCCATCTTTCCCCATGCTCCCATCTGACCCATGATCCATGCAGTGATGTCCCTGGCGTCGTCCGAGCCAGCGTTCACCTGGGACTCTGGAAGGCCCCCTAGGATCTGCTGGAGCGTCCTTTTAAAGGAAACCCGGCACAGGTTACAGAGCGCTCAGGCGAACACTGGGCGTCGAAGAAAGGTAATGGGGCCGTCTGATTGTTCATGGCAGTAAACGGTGAAGAGAGAAGGTTCTGAAATGTCGGAATGTAAGTGAGCGCTCAACGCAAGTGAGGTGAGCAGAAACAATAGCCGGGGTGACAAAGAACAGGGTCTTCTCTCTCTCCTCGAAGCCTGATATTTTGCCGCACCGTCGTCAAAGCAGCCGCGGACAACCGCGTCAAAATACGATTTCATCAGGAACTCTTCTTCCGGAGAGCGAGGGAGAGCGAGTGCTCCCGAAATGGCTGCTGAATTGGCTGCTGCAGGCGTGCAGCTCGGAGGCGTGCAGGGTGCTTATCGAACGGGCCTGCTGGACCCCAGGATGCGCGGCATCATGATGACGATCATTGTCAGAATCATGACGATGCTGAGAAGGATGGCAGCGCTCGCCGCCCTGCGACGTGCATTCTGGACCGGCGAGTCCAACGAAGGGTGCACTTTTGACAAACATGGGCTCCCCTGCTTGATCGAACGGCCTCCTGAAAGCCATTATTGGCATGTGCGCCACGCGTGCGGCTGAGATCCCCTCTCGAGGAACGGGCATTCGGACCTATGGGATATCTTTCCCAGCATGCGGTGGAATCTAGTAGCGCCATGGATTGAACCAATGAAAGCCTGACAAGGGAAGGAGAGGGGAGCCCTCCCACACTCCTACTTCAATGAGAAGAGAAGAGGGACGTCAGTTCTAGACGGCCCGCGTGGCCGCCAGCGCCAGCCGTGCACGGTCTAGGCCGAGGCGTTGAGTGAGACGCGGTCCATCAGGCCTGTCAGGATAATGCACAAGGCTTGTGAACAGTACTTTCTTGAAGAAAGTTTCGTCAAGGTCTCTCCGGCCGGTAAGGGATGCCTGATCAACGTCTCTCCGATTGCTCAGTCGTCTGTCGTTAGTTCTTTCTTGAAATAGAGTCTATTATGGTGCACAGTCGGTGGTGTGTTCTTCTAATCTCGACTTGGGTAGAACCAGCCTATGCTTGATGAGATCTATGTTCCACATGCTGTTGAACTGAGGTCTAGTCCGACTCGGTCAGTACTGTGGTCAGATCAAGAAAAGGCATTTCGAACCGAGATGTGCTTGGAACTTAGAACACGTCCCGACGAAACTGAGCTCAGTTAGTAGGCTCCGAGCAGCGACGTGGGGATCAAGAAGCTCGTTCCCACTGGGGTAAGTCAGCGATACCTAGAGACAAATGACTGCACTGGCCGCACAGCTAGCTAGTCACGAACGACACAAAGCACTATGGGCTGCGCGGCTGTCTAAAATGATGCAGGAGGCTGGCACGATCCGTCAGGTTGCTGACGAGGAAGGAACGGAAGAAGAATAAGAGGCAGATACATCGGCATCCAGAATAAGAAAGCAGCTAGGGAGTAAACGAGCATCATGCTGTCATGTGATGTCATAAATAGAGCGAAGGCGGTGGAGCAGAAATTACCGTTGGTTCGTTGAGGCAGAGGCAAAGGCAAAGGCGGTGAGGATCAACCCTGCATGAGCACGTGTGCGAGCGGGATTCGCGAAACGCTGGCGAAGACCTTGTGAGAGAACTACGGAAATATCGGCGACAGTTACATGTCGTCGTACATCATCCTATGGTTATGTTCGTCACTTTGGGCGGCACAGAAGCAGAGCACTGCCACGGATCCAGCCCCGAGTGTTTCACCTCTCACTGCGATTGGTAGGTTTGAGCGTATGCTGACATGGCACCTGAGGTGCCCAGGCGGAAACGAGAGAAGTTCCAGCATCATTCGTCACAAGGTGAGGTTAGGTGCGTTGCTTTGCGTTCTAGAGATTTTCGGAAAACAACGAAAAGGGCTGGGTAGGGTTCATTGCGGCATACGATCTCACACTTCCTCGCTAGAAACAGTATTTCTGTAAAAACAGTATGACAATCACAATAAGCTTCAGCAATCAGAAGATACTTAGATAAGGGCACAACAACAATGTTGTTGTCCTTTAATGAAGGAAATGGAAGCTTCAAATATTAATGGCGGTCAGCATGAAAAATCCTCTCAAAAATGATGGACGAGGAAATTACAGCAACCATTTACTACAGGGAGCTTAAACAGGTGTACCGGGTACGTATAAATTAACACATTACCATGTGGCCAATGCTTGTGAAAGCTACACCAACCCATTGACGAAGTACCAGACAACTGTATTGTGCTCATAGCCGCATCCACTTTGCTGTGTGTTTCTAGTCTCATGGTTCGGGGCATAAAAGAATGTAGGGTGTGATTGATTGATGTACTTGTGGTAGAGCGAAAAAATAGCACAATATGATACAAAACAAACCAATGCAAGACAAAGCTGACTGAAACACGCTGGCGGGTGCAGGATAAAAGCTTGTGCCAGTTGGCTTTGGTCCTGCACACACTGCAGTGTCATACACCAGCGAACACATGACGTAAGATAAGAAGCTGTTCGCAAGGACAATACAATAATGATATAATTCTCGCAACCCTCACCTGCAGCTCCTCTATACAAGCAACCGCAGCTTGTAACAGCAAGGCCATGTCAGGTTGTGTAACCGCATTGGCAGGGTACTTTTGACGCATCCATGACATAGGAATGGCCCTTTCCAGCCTCAGAATTCCGTCACTTGATGAGACCCAGGACAGGAGATACAGCAGTATGCACATTAAGAAAAGCGAGGTGTATTCAATCGACACAATATCCAGCAGCGGCGACAACAACCGGTGTGAGGAATAATTTCCAAGTAATAGTTTGGGCACTAGCATATGACCAACACGCCTGACTCTTTGTCGTCTCATCTTCTCCTTGGCGCCCTGCTGGTGAATAGGTGGCCGCCCAACCCCGTGCGGCGTGCCACTGGGTGGTGCCGGGGCTGGGTGTGCTGCGTTTCATGCTAGCACTGTGTCTTCATGCACTGCTCCTTCTGTTGCTACTTGTGCGGTTTCTTGCGTTGTGCCGGCAACAGCAGCAGGTGAACGGACGGGAGTGGAACAGCCTGGAACACATGTGGCCAGAATCGGACTAGATTCTGCCTTCTGCATGAGCCCAAGCTGTCCACCCACCGAGCTTAGCTCCTGCTGGCAAACGGTAGATGCGTTCTTAGCCTTCAAAAGAGCAACCAACTCGCGCAAGGAAAAGCCACCAGCTCTAGGCTTGAACGTGTGTGCTGAAATTCCAACATTACCCTCATGTAGCAATCCGCCATGCTGGCCGTTGGTCTGGCAGCGGGTTGGGCAAGCAATGCGGGCCAGAGGGACCGAGCCAGTCAGAGCGTCATAACTTCCGATGTGTCTGGCAAATGGTGCTGCTGGCTTGCGTGAGAGCCCACATCCGACTCAAGAGCCACTACGGCCGCTGCCAAGTAATCCGTCACTTCAAAGGCTGCGACAGTCCTAGCAGGGTTTCTCACTCTGCCAGGGTGCCATGGAGCTTGCATGCTGTTGACAAAGCCAGTGCCATTGACACAGCTGCTTCTGGCGCCCTTGGAGGTATTGAGCCCTCGTGGGCCGACCACAGCTCTTTCATGAACTTGCTGACGTCAGGTACCATCCACCCCTGCTTCCCCTGCTGCCACTACTGCCAATGATGCAGGCGCTTGTCCAGACAGGGGAGAACCATCCATCAACGTGCTGGCGTTAGCCTGGAGTAGTGTAGCAGTTGCCCTTGCTGCTGCTGCTCTGCCACGCATTGACCATTCCTCAAGGCATCGCTCGAGCGATCAGGTTCATCTAGAACGTCCCAATGTTGCCATAGTAGCCATTGGTAGTGCCGTTGACACTGACCCATTTGGAGCTGACGTCAGCATGGCATCCATCCATGCTCCCCCGACTGGCAGCGCCGGTGCGTCAGCAAAGCATGTTCGGGACTCACTCCCTAACTTCAGCGAGTTGTTGCTCTGCAACATCATTATAGACATCCCCATGCCGATGATGCCATCTGAAACGCATTGCATGACACCACCGCATTGCATTTTGGTACCCTGGCTTTAGACTGAATGCTTTTCGGGCCATGAAAATCCATGAACCCATCGTACCCCATGATCCCATGAGACCCCATCATGATCCCATCAGACGAGATGATGAGATGTTGTTGGGAATGAAGCTAGTGAGAGTTTTAACCCTAAGGCTCCTGTGTGTGGGGGCAAGAGGGTGATGAGTACAGATGATAGGCATGGCAGGAGAGGTTGCAAGCACACACCTTGGAATGCCACTGGAATGCATGGTTTGGTGCACACGGGGGATATTTCTAGAAGGAGCAAGTGGACGCACCTGGAATGGGAAGGAGGCCTGCAGAGAAATACAGGCACTGTCAAGACACAAGTATGTACCTGCAAAGTCATGCGTAACTCAGGCATTAGCAACACACGGAACAGCAGGGCCACTAAGTGATGCAGGAGCAGAACACGAGGTCACACAGACTCCCCTGATCTCTCTTGTTTGCTTTGAAGCAGCATAAACAGTGCATGGAACAGAAGGGTGACAAAAACTCAGGGTCGTTTTGTAACTGAGGGGTCACACAAAATTGCCTGCTCTCGCTGTTTCTGTTTGGCACAACATCATCAGCACACAGGACAGCAGGACCACGCGGTAACTGCCGCTGACTGTTGTAGATATGGACCGAGGCTCCACCGATTGATTTTGAGTCAACTCAACAGCATTAGGTCACATGGACCCACCTCCTCTCCCTGGTTCTGTTTGCCTCAGCATCATTGGCACGTAGAACAGCAGAATCATGCGATAACACAGAATAATAAGATAATGCAAGGTCACATTGTCTGACGGTCTCACCTGATCTCTCCGGCTCCATTTGGCATAGCATTGCCGGCACACAGAACAGTAGGGTTGTGCAATAACATCGCGGCACACTGTGGATGTGAGCTGATTCTCCACCCATTGTTTGCTGCACATCTGTGAAGATTCACGGGCAGATTGAGCAGAGATAAATGTCACAAATCAGGCACCAGCAACCTGATCAGAAGGATAGAGCCCGACCAAAATTTACATTCTATTACTTCTCCTTCCCCCAACTTTTGAGGCGGATGCAAACAAGCAGGGATAATTTTGCAGGAAACAAGGTTGTGAAGAAAAGCAAAAAATCTGTGAATCTTTACACCACACCTTATTTTGCAGGGGTGTATTGCAGCACTCAGCTCACATGCCTCCTCCAAATCTCTTCCCCTCCCTTCTCTCTCCCCCCCTTCTCTCCAACTCTCCCCCCTCCCTTCTCTCCACCCCTATCTCCTCCCCATCCACCGCATACCAGCCAGGTGAGCAGAGGAGACAAGGCACACACAAAACTCCTTCACTATCTGCTCTGATGCTTTGCCTTCTGCTGCTTCTACTGCTTCGTCTTCAGATGATGAGCTCGCCCCCAAGGGTCCCCCAGCTGCTTCTGCTGATGATGCAAGCTTCTAGTTGCTGTAGGCACTGCTGCTGCTGACTCTTTCCCGCTATCCCTGCTACCCACCCATCCGGACACCAAATTACCCCTCCATATGCCCGCCTCTCTTCTCCCGACTGCCCCTAATCCCCCTCCCATTCGCCCTCATATTCTTCCTGGTGCCCCGACCCCCCCCTCTAGTCGCTCCGCTGGCACCCCTGTTGCCCCTGATCCTCTCTCCCATTCCCCAGATCTTTAACCCCCTCTATTCCGAATCCCCCCTCCTGTCACCCTCCCCCACAAATTGCACTCTTTCCCGTTTCCATCCTTCTCACTTTCCCCTCCTTCTGCCGGGCCTTCCCATTTCAGTCACCCAAACCCCCCCCCCCCACCCTCCTCCCCCCTCCCTATATTGTGTTGCTCCGGTTCCTCCACTCACATGCATCATCCCCTCTTGTAACCCCCCATGCACATACTCACATGGTGGCTGTGGCATTGCCCATAGCCATCCCTGAGGCACATCCTGGTGGCCTCACCTGCAGCACAACGAAGAGCCACACATAGGCCCAGAGCGACCAGAGGAACTCCACGAGAAACTCGCCCACGCCCGAGATGTGCCTGATGGTGCCAGGCAGCGGCAGGAGCACACCGACTGCCAGGATGGTGAACATGTTGAATGCTGCACCGTCTATGATGGTGCCTCCCAAATCTGGAGAAAAATGGGAGGAACAGTAGGTCCGTGTGCAGGTGAGTTGTAATAAAAGACGGACGCCGTAAAGCAACGTACGTTGGGGGATATGGAGAGCACCCAAGGTTGGGTGTCTTGGTTCTCGCAGGTCCGTCTGCAGCTCACTCATCATATGCACCTATAGCCACCCTTACCCTGTCCGCCAGTCTTGCCTAGGCGTTTGACGGCGTCAATGACTGCGAGGGAGATATGAGGCGCGCACGTGCCCTGCGCCAGCAGTGTAATGTCAGCG